CACTTTTTGTCCCAGTGTACATCAGCTCCATAATAGTACACTTACACTGGCAGATTTGCTTCAAGATTTCTGTGTGAAGTGGGTGAAGGATTTTATTTGCCTCTAAATAAGAAAAACAAAACAAAACCCAACTGTTGGGGGTTGTTTATTTGTTTTTATAACTTTTATAAACTTTTGCTGACATACAACAGCATGGTGCAACAACTAACTGTACCTGCTCATCACGAGGCATACTGCTGCAGTGCAGAGGAGGAAGAGAGAGCAAGTACTTTAGCATTACACGCTTTGTACAGAAGTACAGCTCCAGCTGGAGGCCTGCACCTGGAGATTCTGAGTGGAAAAATCGTGGTGGGCCTGCCACAAGCATCTTCTGCGCAGCAACACTTGCTGGGTCTTGAGACAGAATGGGCCTAGAAGTTGTTCTGTAATTATTTCCTTGTGTATTCTAGCTACTTTAAGAGATACTTCACCTTTTAAAGCTGAACAGCTTTTCCAGGATGTTTTCTTTCCTTGTGGTCTCACTGATATTTGAGCTGCTCTTTGCTTTTCTTTAAGAACACTTGTTTTGTTTTATTCTACTTTCATAGTTTCTGCCTCCCAACAGCCACAAAGTAGGACTTTGAGCAGCCATTCTGAGAATTTTGTCAAAAATATTTCATTCAGAACTATAATACTAACAGAGAATAGAATAGACTGTCAGTTGGAAGGGACCTACGATGATCACCTAGTCCAACTGCCTGACCAATTCAGGGCTGACTAAAAGTTAAAACATGTTATTGAGGGCATTATCCAAATGCATCTTAAACACAGACAGGCTTGGGGCATTGACCCCCTCTCTAGGAAGCCTGATCCAGAGTTGACCACCCCCTTGGTAAAGAAATGCTTCCTAATATCCAGTCTAAACCTCCCCTGGCGCAGCTTTGAACCATTCCCACACGTCCTGTCCCTGGATACCAAGGAGAAGACATCAGCTCTCCTCCTCCTCAGGAAGCTGCAGAGAGCAATGAGGTCGCCCCTCAGCCTCCTTGTCTCCAAACTAGACAAGCCCTAAGCCCTCAGCTGCTCCTCACAGGCCATGCCTTCCAGCCCTTTCACCAGCTTTGTTGCCTTCCTCTGGACACATTCAAGAACCTTCACATCCTTCTTAAATTGTGGGGCCCAGAACTGCACACAGTACTCAAGGAGAGGCTGCACCAATGCTGAATACAACGGGACAATCACCTCTTTTGATGAGCTGGCTATGCTGTATTTTGATGCACCCCAGGATGGGGTTTGCCCGCTTGGTTGCCAGATAAACACTTGTCTTCCATCTGCAATATGACGCCATCCTAGATCTAGTGAACAAAATAAATGTCTGTTGATCCATTCTTAAATTTTCATTTCTTTCATCTTTGTATGGATAACATGGAGTCACGAATGGTTTGGGTTGGAAGAGACATTTAAAGATCATCTAGTTCCAACCTCTGACATAACAACTCTGTTAATAGTTGTAACTTTTAGCATGCAAATTCTTGCCTTTTTTTTTTTTAATGAAGGAAAACTGAAGATGTAGTAATTGTAGCTTGTGTAATCACATTGATGTTAACTTGTGGTGTTTCACATTGTGAAACACGAGCAGAGTTAAAAGCTCGGTTGATCATTTCCGTGTGCATCCCTGCCTGGGAAGATAAGAGTGTAACTAAATTGCCAGTTGCTGCTCTGTCTGTAGGTCAGCACAGAGGGGGCCAAAATGGGCTTTTCCAGGAGATACCAGTGTCCATTGGTGTCAGAGAACTGACGCTACTAAAACCCTGTGACCCTTAATCAGCACCAGGATGGGAGCAAACAGTAGTTGGACAGACTCAAAAGCTCATCACTGGTAAATCCTTTACTTTTTCTTCTTCAGCTTGTCACTCTCCAGCCCACAGGACGCACTCATCTCCCAGTTCCTCATCTCATGATGATTCTTCAAAGCTGACCTAAATGTGCTCCTGCTGGAAGAATCATACTTCCTTTGGCCCGTTCGTCCCTGCCTCTGTGCTGTCCTTGTACTGGCAGGAGAGAAATGCTAGGGAACGGCTAAAAATAACCAGAAGTGCAGGAGGGGGCTTTGTCTCTTTCAGCATTGAGACCACATGTGTTAAAGTACAGATGTGTTGATGTGATATGTCTGAGTTGATCTATCACTGTCGCTGAAGGTGAAAGGGCACTGCTCCTATTCCTGTCTGTCCTTGAGATGTGACCAGTGCCTGTCTGGTCACATGGTAGATTGCTTAGAATCACCAAATAGAGCAGAAATTAACCTCACCAAAAGAAAACAAAAAGTAGTTTTTCATTTGGTTTCTGAATTGAATTGATTTAATTTTCAGGCAGATAGTCACAAGAGCCAGCTTAATGGAGAGGGCAAGTCAGAGCAACAACAGTAGGATGGCCAATTATGGCAGCGGTGAAACATTCACTTCAGTCTGACTTGAGACGTATCCTTGGCTCTGTTTCTCTCCTCTTCATCCCCAAAATTTTCTTCTTACACTTTCTTATTCCACTGTCTTGCTCTGAGTCATTCTGAGTTCTGGTTACTTTCTCACTTTCCTGTTGCTCTGCCTTTACTACATCCATTTCTCTTCCTCATCTCATTGATCTTAGTTTCCTGATGCTCTGATCTCTCCTCCATTCCCCCTTTGATACGTATCTTTTCACTTTTTCCATGGCTTTCAGGGAATTTCATTCACAGACTTCCCCTTAGATCTTGGCCTCCCTCCTTACGCTGTCCATTCTTTGCTTCCAGAATCTATGCTTAGCAATTCCTGTTCCTTCCTCTGTACCCTTTCCTGCAGCTCCCCACCCCACCCTGATCCGTAGCTGTATCCTCACCTGTGCTGATTATTAGTCTCAGACAGTGCCATGACCATATTAATTTTTAATCCTCATTATCCCATGTCTCTTTCTCCTCCACTTCTTTCACCATGTCCAATGACCTTTTCCTTCCCCAGGCTTTAAATGCCATTTTCCCTTCATGAACCAGTCTCTGTCTTTATTTTGTTTCTGGTTATCCTGCTTAGGCTGCAGTTCCACGAACAAACAGCTCTTTTAGGAGAGTGCTGGGGTTTGCAGTGTTATTTTTATGCCTCTTAAGTTCCCTGATCCACTTTATTGCATAGCCCACGCAAACAGTTGTGCTGGCATAAGGGAGAGGAATTGGGATAGAAAGCATGTATGTTAGCCCTGGTGTTGGACAACATGTCAGTGGAACCAGTCTCCTTCCTTAATTAGTTTTAGTTTTACTAGTTCTTTCCAGCTCACAAATCTGCTCCCAATTTCTGTCTTCCTCTGCAGTATCAGACTCATCAAACTGCATCTCAGTTTGTTCCTTTCCCTCCAAGTCCTTTCTCTTACCTCTCTGCATTCAGAGCAAATGAAGCTTTGCTTTCATGATATCAGGGCACCAGGTGGCTGGAGAAAGCTGTTGTGTGGGGTTTTTTCTGTTTCTTAAGTGCTTTTTATCCAGTGGTGTTTCTCATGCCAAAACAAGAGACTTCTTGATGGCAGTCTTTATTCCTGTTTCTCATTCATCTGTTGGTTCCCTCATCTTGAACTTACTTTATCTTTATAGACTGGGGTGTTGTGGTGTTTTTTTCCTTCATAGTGCTGAAATGGATTTGTATGTCGTGGTTAAAGTCTTTCCTATTAAAACAGAAAACAAAGTAAGTGGCAGATCTGTCTGGATGCTTTGTAACTAGTAAACCGTCCTTGTTCTGTGTCTTGTGCTAAAGATGAGTAAAAGCTTTATAAAGCTCACTTGAAGAACTCAATTCCTACCTTGTCTTTGTCAGCTAACAATGGAACCATAATCTGTATCACGTTTTATTTTGCACCATCAAAAAGTCATAGTTATTTAACTGGAGATGTAATTTCCTGGTACCCTTCATTTATATGGTTTTATTGCACCTCGTCCTCTCATCTAACCCTGGGCTATTCATAAAGCTAACAAAGTCTTTTCCCCACCAAAACATCTTTCTGTCTGGTCAGTCTTGGACTCAATGCTTGAAATATTAAAAGGAGGAATGATGTCTGTGTTTCAGAATGCTAAATCATCAGTAGGATCAAATCTACATTATATCGGATAGCTATTCGTGCTGTGTGTGTAAACTGGTGCTGGCCCTGCATGTGCTGCCCTGGATTTGGGAAGGCCTCCTATCTCAGGACCATTGCTGGTCTTTGCTTACTGCAGCTAGCTCTGTGTTGATGGAGCCTGTAAGGGTATCTGTGTGAAGTTTCTCATTTGGGGGGCATTTGCTGTTTGGATCACTGGCTAAGCTACTTCTGGACCCAGTGTACATGGTACTATATCCAAATACGTGTGTAAAGAGCTGTGCCTGCTGGTGGGGACAGTGCCTGAAACAGCTCAGGCCAGTTAGCAGTCTTAGCATCTGAATTTTTCCTTTGCTGGGATATCCCCCCCTCCTCATTACTCCAGAGGATGAAGGGTTGACTGGAGCATGAGAGCTCCATCTGCTGCCCCACCTTCTGACGGCAATGATTCTTTGAAGTCTGAATGCCTAAATCATCTCTTTTTCAGCAGAGTACTTAAGTCTGTGCCTGCTGTTCACACTGAACTGAACTGTGAATAACCGTAATCATTAAACCATTCCTATAGTGGGCTGGCAATTAAATTCCACTAACCTATGGTCTCCTGTGCCGTGTATGTACATATGATTTGATTCTTCTAGTAAGCTTCAAATGCTTTACTAAGGTGGTAGTTTCTTTTAGATACACGTGTTTATACCATATGCATTGTAAATCAGTTGTTAGACGAAACAGGGCTTTCTAGTCCTTTCCAGAAGACACTCGTGTAGTAATGGATTAGTAATGTACTGATTTAATTCAAGGGCGTTGTTCATTGAAATATGGTACTGAAAAAAGTAACTTCAAGAAGTCTGTTTAGATACCTTCTCTAAATGCTAGACAGAGCAATGGTTGAATAAAATTAATTCCAGGTAGATATGTGTTTTGGGAATACCAAGATGGATCATACTTATTTGAAATGTTTAATAAGTATCCCAAATAACTGTGGATGTTCAGTTGCAGGACCAGCACTGCCTCCAGGTTATAAAAGCAGCTGTAACTCAGAAACTCCTGACAGTGATGACTCAGAATCTCTTCCTCTACCCAGAGATGCAAACGGAGATTCTGAAGAGGAGACAGAAGGAGATCCAGCACCCAAGTGAGTATGTTCCTAGGTTATTTGTATATTTATGTTGTATTGCAAATGAAAAGTGTCTGCATAAATTGTGAGAAAGGGACAGTATTATATAAATAAGGTAAACCCTGTACCTGTGTTAAACTTGATGACATGTTCTCTATGTTCTTTGCAGTCAAGAATATTCAGCCGGCCTGTTTGACACCCTATGGTGGAATTAAGTTATTTAGGGCAATCACATCTCTGTATTACATGGGTTATTTTAGTTCTGTAATTCAAGTAATAAAATCCTTAATGTTTTCCTTGTTTATACTAAGGAGAGACACCGCTTACCATGCATTTAAGTATTTGGTACTTGAGTGCCCTGTTTCTGGTATACTACCTCTTATTGAGAGATCATAAAAACTGCTTATGGGCATGAATTTATGCATTCAGTTAAGTCAACTCTAATGAAAAAAAAACAACAACAAATTGTTTAGCGAATAACAGGAGTCTGAGCATACTCTCATTTGGTGGGGTTGATTACTCACAATTGTTGTGTTAAGAACTTGTGTATGTTTGCTAAGCCTTGTATAAGGCACTTGAAGGGCATTATGCCATCCTAATGAGTGTTAATTGTTACTCACTTTTCTCTTGTTGTCTTATTTAACAGTTTTTCAGTTAATTAGAATTGAACTGGGAAAAATACTAGTCAAAATGCAGACAGTATAAAAATGGAGAAAGAAGTGTGCTGAATTTCAAATTACTTTGTGACTAGAAAATGATATTTCAACATTATACTACCCTTCTTTCTACAGCAAAGCATTCTTAGTGGTTTTTTTAAATGTCAGAGCATTTTTGGCGTGAAGCTTATGCTCCCAATTTTTTAATTGCTTCAAATTATTTTGGATCCTTTTGCACTGTTTCCTTGGTAACGGAAGGATATTTAGTACATAAGACTGTCTGTCTGAAATTTATGTATTTTTTTCCTTTTTAAAATGTAGATAATTGCTATACATGTCAAAGTAAATTATTAAGTGAAATCTTTGTATTTGCAGAAAGCCAAAAAGAGTTCAGGAAGATGATGATGATGATGGCTTTTTTGGGCCTGCTCTTCCTCCTGGGTTTAAAAAACAGGATGATTCTCCAGAGAGGTAATTAAAATAGAACTATATTCAGACTCTTTTCCTTAAACACCATTATTTTAGATAAAATATTTTGTGGCACTATTACAGAACACGTCAATTGTGCACTTCAGATTCAGATGATTAGAATTTGCCTCCACATTCTGAGAACAGGAAGAGCATTCCCTTGAAAGAGAGCACACGGCCCTCCCAGTCCTGGTTGGAAGGCTGGAGAGAAAAAGAAAAAATGTGAATTGTCTGAGTTACATTTTGAATGTCAAATTTCTTCCATTTCCTATGATAAGTCTCAGAGCAATGCAGAAAAAACAAATTACAGCTACAAGGACCTGTACTTCTGTGGTTCGTTCTGGGCTGTGAGAGAGTAGGGCAGTTAGCTTTTGTGTGCTGCAATACAATGCAGATTATTGGAATTGTTTGATAACGCACCAAGGACTATTGTTTGTGTGTCTCCAGGTAGAAAACTAACCTGAACAGTATATCTTTCTGGAAAGCAAGCTGTCAGGTCTAAGCAAATAAGCATTAGTTTATAGCATCTGTTGAGAAGCTTTCCATTTGATTGCATGCAATTATAAAATACTTCCCGAAAAAAATCTATGGATTTTCTACACAGAACTTAAGCATGTCTCACAGCATTCTAGTCTTTACAGCAATCTGTGTGCTTCCTTCTATAATTTGAAATGATAATCCACAGTGAAATTGGTACTTCCAAGGGGACACTTACTGATGAAAGGTACAAGAGAGTTCCTTGATTACTATTATCTTCCTCAGAGCAATAGGGAGCTGGTAGATAAAATAAATTAATACCTACCTATCAGGTACGAGTGTTCACTTCTAGGAAGGTGACTCAATTTATTGTTGAGCTCTGCATGTAACATACAATCTCAAAGGAAATTTCAAAGTTGAAATTTTTTTTAGTTTGGCTAAATTTTTATGATGCTTGGCAGCAGTTACAAAGACAAGAATTAATGTAACTAAGGTTATTTAAAAGTATCCTCTTTGTATCTGTTTGGTTACACTTTGCTGTAATTGACAAACTCTTTTGTAATTGTGGGTATCATGCTTAGTGGAGTTTGGTGCTTTGATGGTCCCAAGAGTAACTAATATCTTTTTCTTTTTCTTGCATTTCATATGCACAATGTGTCATTTTAATTATAAAATTTAGGAAGTCACTAAAAATAATGTGATCTCTAATAAAGCTTGTAGTTTTTCATATCAGCAGAGGTAGCCTTCTTGCTTTCTTGACTTTTGACATGAATACTCCTGTGGTAAAATGTTATGTCAAAGTGGGCAAGGGAAAAGAGGAAGAAAAGAGGCAACTTGTAGTTTGAAGGTTAGAGAGATGAGCAGTAACACAGGTGGTCACTCATCATATAATCTTAGTCTTTCATACATTCCCCCAACTTTTATTTCTACTTAGTAGTTTATTTCCCAAATGTTGGATAACTTGCACTTACGTTCAGACGGCAAGAGTCTGCTCTATAAGTATGAGAGATGAAGGCAGCAAAAGGCACCTGCTATTATTTTTTTGGTTGTGTTTTTTTTTTTTGGTCCTAGTTTACCATACAACTGCTCCTAGCACATACTGAGAAAGCAGATTGAGCAGAGCTGTTTTGCACCCAGCCTGGTTCCCTGAATAGGTGGAAAAGGTGTGATGTGTGGGAAGAGCCTTGTCTGTCTTCCACCCCCGTACACCTGGCCGTCTAGTTGTGCTGACACACTGAGGCGTGTAAGCTGTGCAGGGTGTAGACACAATGCTGATACCTGTCTCTCCACTGCATTGCCCCTAACACTGAGCAGATTGCCAGCTGACTATCTAGCCATGAATAATTTAAACAAATGCAGGCTGTTTGTTTCAGTGTATGGACATACTCTTTATTAGCTCTGTGTGACATACTCATTCTTTTAGAAAAGCTTTTGTTCTGTTACATCTCTTCCAGACTTGTCAAAGCAACATATTCATGATTAGGAGCAGCTCATGTGGCAATTTGCAGCTTGTTAAAATTGTTTGAATCATTTCAGCATAAAATGTATACATGACCATATTTCCTTCAACTTTGGAAAGGATATTGCTGTTTATCAGTGTTAGACAGAAGTGCAGTACTCGTAAATATTCCCAAAGTATTCACACATTGAGGTAAAGAGCGAAGGTTATCTTAACAAATTTTATGTTCTGCATCAGAAGAATGCTGAAATGCCCATCTTGAAGCATGCGTTAGCAAGACCAACAACAGGAAAGCGTTCTTTGCCATATATGAAATCCAATATTCCTTAAATTAAAACTCAATTCATGATAAGTTTTGGGGTGCTTTTTTTGAATGTGTATAGATAGGTACCAAAGTTGCCAACAGCAGCAACGTGTGTTTAACAGAGTTTTATTTAGATTCACTTCACTTGTTCAGACAGCCTTTGGACATCCAGGAAACTGTTGAGAATCACATTGGCTGTGTGCTGCTGAGGAAAGACCCGAGCAACAGGGTTACTCATGTGGGGGGAAAAAAAAAGCATAGAAATGGAAAGTGTGGGAGGGATGTATATGGGAACTATTTTTCTGTTCCTTGGAAGAGCCTTTGAGCTGTGACAGAAGCAAGGCAGAGTATTTGAGATCTGCTCTTTTTGACAAGTTGCGCGGATACAGCCCACAGCATAGATGTTCTTATATATTTTAGTAGAAAGCTTTTTTTTATGGTTTGGTTTAACTGTCTTTCCATGCAAAATAAAGATACTTGTATACTAAAATAAAAGATTATTTTCGCTTTATCTGTATGAGTTTAAATTCAATCTCTTTAAATTATATTGGGAATTTAAAATACGGTCTTAACAAGAAAGAAGGCAGAAAGGAACGGAGAAAAATAAAAGCTGTTTCTTTTTTACAGCAGCTGGGTGGACATGGAACTTCAAATTTAACCCATACCTCTTGCCTGGATTGAAACTTCACCAGTGCCCTTGTCCTGGCCTGACCTCACATTTAATGCTTGTGTCTGTCTATCTGTGGTTGGCTTTCTGGCAGGACTTTCTGCTTTTTATTTGCCCTCTTCAAATCCTGACAATAATATCACTACAGCAGGGCTGTACTGATTAGAATAGGTGGGATTTAGTAGAAAACCATAATTAGCATAATTCAGTTCAAGTTGTGTTATGTTTGATCAACCTAAAGGTCAGAAACTGAAAATCATAATAAATAAAGTGTCTGCTGATAGATTGTGAGGATACTGTCACTTGGATATTTCTTCAGGTGATAATTGTTTGGGTTTTAATTAGCTTTTATTATCTTTAAAGAATATTAAACTCATATACAGAAGTCTTTTCAGTACTGCAAGCAGAGTTTGTAGTATGCTTTGGACTCTTTTCACCATTAAAAGAGATTCACACCTTTCTGTGTTCATAGAGACAATTGAATTGTACTGCTTGCAGAGCTGCTGCGTAAAAACAAATCAGTGAGGTTACCTGGGATCACAAAACTTTTATTCTCATGTCCGCACTCCAAGGGAAAATAAACTTTAAAACCAGAGCAGTTCACTGATTCTGCTTATTGAAGGACAGTGAAACTGTGGTGCAAGGCAAGAATGAACAAAATTGGCTTTATTGTTAAAGAAAGAGTAGCATATATTTGACCTCCCACCTTTCATTGCTCTTGAATCTGGTGAAGGAAGCTAGGGAAGAAAAAAAAGTGTATTTCCTTGACTACACGCTGTAATTTTCCCAGTTTTCTTGCATCCCAGCAATCTGCAGAGGTCCTCCCTGAAAACAGAGAAACTCTCTTAGTTATTTCTGTGGTGTGTGCATAGGTGGCACACTTGGCATGGGGAGGAAGGAGAATCACACTTCTCATCAACATTTGATTTTAATTTTTGTTTTAATCTATTACTTTTTTTTTCATGCATCGAACAGTGGAAGGCTGTAATTTAATGTTAATGGTTATATTACTTCCTCTTTTTTTTCCCTTCAACTGAAAACCAAGATTTTCTTTGTGTTTTTTTTTCTTCCCTCAAGGCCCATTATAGGTCCTGCATTACCACCTGGCTTTAGGAAACCTTCGCAGGACGCCAGGAATAGCAGATGTTCCATAGGACCGTCTGTTTCATTAGAATACTGTACCCAGGTTTGTGAAAACAGAAGCCTTTTGTTTTAGTACAAGCTGTCTGAAATGCTTAAACAAGTAGGAGCCTGAAAAAGTCTACTAGACATACTTTTCAGCATGACAGTTTAATTTTAGACCAGAAAGTGTCTGGCATGTTTTTGCCTGAGTCAAATACTTGAAACATAAATAAGCCTTAAAAAAGAAAAAGGCTGGTCTGGTTTGTTGTGATTTTGCTGTTAGACAGATGATGTACTCACTGAACACAAGAGATCTAGGCATCCTAAACTGTAGTCACAGTAGTTCTTCCTAATGTTTTTCCATTCTTTCTTTTGGTGTGATGTCCTTCACAAGTGAACATCTTGGTAAAGTTCAAATTTTTAAAGGCATTAAAGAAGTAATGCAACTTGTTAGAATGAAAATACTTACCTACAGTTCAAGCTTTTACCCCTTTGCCAATGGGGGAGCAAAATTATTGAATATTTCACATATCTTCACCTCCTTAAAAATGTTTATTAGTGGATGCATTAAATAAGTCTATCCGAAAGATTGCGATCAAGAATGATGCTACGGTGTCAGTAATTGTTCTTATCAATAGCAAGGCAGAGCAGGACAGTGACACACAATTTTTTGGTTTGTGTGTTTTGACTGTTCTCATCAGGTTAGGTAAAAACTAGGTAGAAGTCCTATAGTCTAATCCCTAGCCACAAAATAATGCATGTACTACTAAAGAACATTCAGGAATAAGATATGTGATAAAATACAGCTAGAAGTATGGGGAAGATTAAGCTCCCTAAACATGGGCCTCTAGTACCATTCTGAGGGATTGGAATTGTCTGCAGCGGGCTGGCAGATAGGGAGTAGCACCTTGGAGAAGCTTACATCCTTCTTGAGCAGCACCTCTTAAGCCAGGCAGGATACCCTAAGACATCAAAAACTGTGCTGGATACCAGTGTTTAGGCAATTAAATCTCCTATGCTATGATAAAGTAAATCCTTGTGAAAAATAACAGTTACTCAGTTTATTTCTAAAATACTTACATTTTTAAGTTTAACTCCCAAATACTGTGGGACATGCTAGACATGCTAGGAAGGAATGAGGCAAAGGCTGCTCTGGAACTTCACTTTTCTGATTAGTAGTTGCGAAGTATATAATTCTCCAGCCTCCTACAGCAAGTGTTGTCATAATCCTTCATGAAGAATGGTTGTCTGACATTTTTAAGATACTCATCGTCTTATAACTGCAAGTAACAATTAAGCAATTTATCATAATGACAAATCTCTTGAGGCAGGGATGTCAAAACTGGTCTGCTTATATATTTTACAAACAAAAAAGTGTCTTTTCTCCTAAATATATCTTCTAGCGTCAGCTTTGTTACAGCTATTACAGAACTTAACTTACTTTATTTTGTTCTCTTCATAATAATACTGTATCCTTTTTTACCTTTGAATATGATGATTAATTTTTTGTTTGTTTTTATTTAATTCTTTTGTATTCTAGTACATCTTTAGAGGCAGCTTATTCCATGCTGACTCTTCATTTTATATTGATTTCCCCGTCAAGCTTGAAAGCAGTGTTTTTAAATGTTTGTTTAATTTCATCTTGTTTGAGGCAGGTGGTAATGGAGTGAAATGAACGTAAGACTAATAAGAAAGGAAATGAGACAGACTTCTTCAATTAAAAGTCAATGTGGAGTTTGTCCTTCATCTTCAACTACTTTACAGTACAATTTATTATGAAGGTCTTGTATCTTTGCATTTTTAATTTGTATACAGAGAGAGGGAAGTGTTTTACTACCTTGGTTTTTCAAGATGGTTATTCCTCTTTCCCACCAGCTCCTTCTTTTAAAAAAGAGAGAGAGAATGCAGTCACCCCATTCTCTAAAAATTGAAGCAATATCACAGTGGTAAATAATCAGTGAGGCTTGACTATATAAATGTTTTTGGGAAAAATGACAAGGGAAATTGCTGTTACCACCTTGCATTGATGATGTTTAAAAGTGACCAGCTATTTCTCACCCTCCTTGGTCTTTCAGATCCATTTGATGCAACTGGTCATACAGCTATTAAATTTGCTAAGCCTCCTCTTGCACCTTGTGATCCACAGCCATCTGTAGCTCTGTCGCTTGCTACCTGAAGCTTGCCTTGCCCACAGTTCATACCTGTGCTGGCTCCTAAAGGCAGACAGGGTCAACCAGCTTGGCTAGCTTGGAGCAGTGTCATTAAAGCACGCCAATTTCTGTAGCAAATGGCACACATCAGTTTAAAGTGGCTTATTTCACACTTGCTCTCTTCTGTAGCCCAAATCCCTCTACAGCAGTGCAATGCCAGCTATCAGCAGCCTAAAGTCTTGAACTCAGTGTAGCAGGATAGCTTTCCTGCTTTTCTCCTCCTTTCACTCATCCTCCATTCCCCATGCTCCCGTTACGTGACTCTTCTAGTGAGGTTCTGTACTCTGTTCTTGTATTCTCCACTGCATCACCTCTGCCTTGGGTGCCTTATTTTACACAGAAGGTTCCTGATACTGTTTTTTCCACTGCTTATCACTCTTTTCTTCTCTGATGGTGTCATATCTTGGTTCTAGGATGTCCACTTGGTAACCAAAGTTTGGCATGATAAAAACAAGCTATTCCCCCTCACTTTCTTCAGCCTTCCTTTGAAACGTCTTTGCAACCACCTTATATTCTCAAGTAATGCTCTGTGCTTCCTGAGCATACAGCCTTGTTGTCATCCTACTCCCATGCTTTATCACCCACATTCAGGCTGTAGCTAAATCTTTTCACTTTTGTAGATATTGGGCACCTTAGCTTTGCTTCCAAGGCACTGTGGAGTCACCATTTTCTGTCTAGTTCTGCCTCTGTTCACATCTGTACCGTTTTAAATTACAATTAACTCTGAGCTTTCTGTATAACCCCTGGCATCCATGAAGATTCGTACTAACATCTAGTCCCTTTCAAACTTAGTTTTTTGAGCCATTCTCCAAATAATTGCTTAGAATGCAATGTCAAAAGGGATTGAAGAAGCAAATGACAGAACCAAGAGATTAAACTGGCAGATACTATACAGCCTGGGGTGCAATACTGTGCATGCCATTATGCCTTAGCTTGCATGTTAATCTTTCTAGCATCCTTACAGAATCTGAGCTGGAGCCAGTTCTCCTTGCAGTGCAAAATGGTGATTTTTATTACAGAGATGCATCCAAATGTTGCTAGTGATGGTAAAGCCCAGAGTATCAAAGATGTACGCTTGCGTCTTTCAAATTTACCTATGGCCACAGAGGCTACATGGCTGCGTGCAGAGCAATGTAAAGCCGTACAGCTTTGTGTGTTGCCACTGTGTTTACCAGCGGTTTTACCTTAGGCAAGAGATGGTGCTTTTGGAAACATGGAGACTAAGTATCCATGTTAAAGTGCTAGGACAGGTCTAATCTGGAGTTTCAATCCAGTTTTTTGTTGTCTGACTGGCAGATGCATTGCATTAGGTTTATATGCTCTTCTAGACAAAATCATTCTAATCCTATGAAGCTAAAGTATTTCTTGATGGTCTTAGCACTATGGTTGAGAGAAATGGTGAGGCCGCACCTTGAATACTGTGTTCAGTTTTGGGCCCCTCACTACAAGAAGGACACTGAGCTGCTGGAGCGTGTCCAGAGAAGGGTGACAAAGCTGGTGAAGGGCCTGGAGAACAAGTCTTACAGGGAGCGGCTGAGGGAGCTGGGGTTGTTTAGTCTGGAGAAAAGGAGGCTGAGGGGAGACCTTATCACTCTCTACAACTACCTGAACGGAGGTTGTAGTGAGGTAGGGATTGGTCTCTTCTCCCCGATAACTAGCGATAGGACAAGAGGAAATAGTCTCAAGTTGTGCCGGGGGAGGTTCAGGCTGGACATTAGAAAGAACTTCTTCACTGTTAGAGTTGTTAAGCATTGGAATGGGCTCCCCAGGGAGGTGGTGGAGTCACCATCCATGGACGTGTTCAAAAAACGCTTAGATGTGGCACTTCAAGACATGGTTTAGTGGGTTTAGCGGGCATGGTGGCATCGGGTATACGGTTGGACTTGATGATCTTTGAGGTCTCTTCCGACCACAATGATTCTATGATTTTTGGAAGGTAACAGATAGTAGCGAGGAAGAAGACAATCTTATAGGCCCAATGCCTGCAAAAGGACCCATGGAGTCTGATGTGACTAAAGAATTTGAATGGAGAGCTCAGAGAATGAAGGAAAAACTTACTTCAGCAGACAGCGTAAGTTGGATTTCTTAATTTCTAATATTTTGTTGCTGGACTGTATTTGTGTTTTTCTTTGCCTATTTGTGTGTGAACCCAGTTGCAGTTCTGCTCGGGATGCTAAGTGTTTGCAATTGTTAAGACAAAGAAAAATCCATTGTTTCTTCTGGAAGTTAAGAGATTCAGAAAGCAATTTTTTTATTATGCTTTTTTCACTCTTCCTCCCCACCACTAATTCTTTTGTAAAGGATGAACCCAAGCAAGTTACCAGGGAATCGTGGATGACAGAGCTTCCACCTGAATTGAAAAGCTTTGGATTTGGCCCAAGAACATTCAAGAGAAGAGCTGATGACAAATCAGGCGATAGATCTATTTGGACAGATACTCCAGCTGACAGAGAGAGAAAAGCCAAGGTGAGCATTTATTCATATACACCTGCGGGCAGTACGTATATTGTTAATATTCCGAGAAAACAAAGTAAAGATAACCTGAGCTGTTTAATGAAAATTTTTTTCCAGATTTTTCTTCGTTATCAAAAGTTATTAATTCGGACTTAAAGGTAAAGGCAAGGAAGTAATGATTTTAAGTAACATTGATATGCATTTATTCCCTCTCCCTTCTGCAGTCAGGTACTCTGTATCAGCTCATTGAATTTCCAATTACAGTGTGTCCAGTTTCTTCTTTTATCAAGCTGAGCAAAAAGTATCTGCTGGCCTGTATTGTGGCCTCTATCCTTCAGATTTAATTAAAGTCAATACAGATTTCCTTGTTTTTTACTTCAGACATTGTGATTGCTATAGCGTGTGATTTGCTTCTACTCATCAGGAAAGAGAAGAGGCAAAAAAGTCAACCAGTAAGGATAGTGAAGAAATTGTACTATCTGGGAGAGACAAGAGACTTGTTGAGCAGGTGACTTCATACAATGTAAGTGTAATAGCAAAATACTTCCTCTTCCTGCATTTCCTTTAATTCTTCACTCTTCTCTTCTGGTTCTCATTTTTAGCGCAGCTGGTTTCCATGGTGATGCTACTACAGTCTTTCCTTTTAGGGCCCAAACCTATCGCTGTTTAAGTCATTAGAACATTTGCCGTTGACTTCAACAAGAGCAGGATTGGGTCCTCCAGCTGCTGCTGAAAATGATGTGACAGAATTGGGGTTTGTGTATATTGTCTCACTTTTAGGTGGTGTTTTCCGGAAATCATCCTCATGTGAGCACATGGTTGCTGGGAGTAGACAACCTTAATTAGCTTGCTTCACCAAATTACTAACAGTCCAAGAATAAAACAGCAGTAAAGTTTTAATTTTTGGGACAAAATATGCATTAACCCAAAAGAAGCTACATGGGCTAAGCAGATCAATGCATTAATTACACTGTGTAATTAATTACGTTAACTTTTCATTACAACAGCATTATTACATTAATGTTTCCTCGGTCTCCACAGAAGCAGATAATTTTCACAGACAGATGTTGATTACTAGAAATCTGAAGTCCATGTCAAATTCCCTCTCACTTTCTGTCTGCCAGCCCTCTCTGCCATAGTATATGGACTGTTGCCTGCCTTACAGCTGTTCGTTCCAGTTCTTCTCTGATTTATGGCCTGAAGTCTTATGGAAGGCAATCTGGTCTCTTGAGAGTGTAATTAACTTGAGAATCGCAGCCTTGGCTTATATTACATGATTGAAGTTTATCTGGCACTTTTAATAATTTATTTGTAGTTCATTAAATCACATGTCCCTCTTGGCTTAGAGGCTTGCAAATCCAGAGCTATCAGCACACTGTCTTAAATTTCTTCTGTATTGTCTGTTTCTACTGGCATTATGAATACAGTAGAATAATTGCCATGTAAAACTACAGATTTTGCTCTGGACCATTGCCAGAATAAAACATATATAGACCTTTACTGTTTCTAAGGTTAATGGAATTCTCTCAAAAAAAATTGAAGAAGGCATCTTGTTTAAGAACAATGTTTCTTGGGTTGTTTTTTGGTTGTTTTTTTTTTAATCGGCTCTTTTTTGATTTTCAGGTGTGTGGTTTTTTTCTTTTAAAGGGGTTTTTTTTTTTCCCCCTCTATTCTTTCCTATTTCTTTCTCCACTGACCTTTATCAAGGATATTTTCACAGAACAGAAGCTTTAATTCTTAAAATAGTTTCTTACAGTTAATTCTTTCAATGCTGATGCCATATACGTTCTCTGGTGCAATTCTGTCAACACTAATGCAGTTACACCGCGAATAAGTATTGTCCATTTTCTGTTTCCCATGAGAATCGTTTCTTATGTCATGTATGAGTTGTTTTTTACATGTGTGACGAAGTAAGTGTTTGCACAGGGAGTGAGGGAAAATAAACCTTCGAATAAAGATCTCGTGTTCCTAGACATGAGAAAACAGAGCTGCTCATCTTTTGCTCTTTCTGATGAGAAAATTGGTTTGGACTGATCTTTTGGCTGGTTTGTAATGATTTGAGAGTCTGAGAAATTGACTACTTAGAGATACCCAAATACACTTTACCTGCGTAAAGGAGGAGTGACATAGTCTGGTAAGAACTAATCCTGCTCCTGTGTGAAATCAGCAGAAGTTTTGTGTTCTATTTGGGCTGGGTCATGCTGTTTAGTAAATGTAATTAATGTCCTTGACTTGGCAAAACATGTGCTGTAGCTCAAACCTGTAACCTTGTCCTGTGGGCTTGCAACAGATGATTCAAATACTGAAAAGTTAAGAGCAGTCGTTAAAAACACAACAGTGCATAACAGTGAGATCGAAAGCATATCTAGCTTGTTCCTGCCCCTAGCAGTGACCAAAACCAGATGCTTGGGGGAAGTGTATAAGAAACTGGGCCTGTACTTTGAGATATTTCTCTTGGCATGTTGTCTTCATTTGTCTCTGCTAATAATGGCAGAGCAATTTTTACATTTCTTTTGCATTATTTTTATAATTTCTCTATCTGCAGAAATTCAGCAACATTATGATATCTTTAGTGTCAGTGAATTATCAGTATTTTATTCAGCGTAGACAAGATTACATGTGCTTTCTGCTCTGTATGCTAAATTTATTGTTCTGTTTTCCAGTTACTAAGCTGTCTTTTTTTTCTGGATATTTTAGCCTTCTTAATTCCAATCTTTCCATTTGGGTTTTCTGTATGTTGTTGATATTTTGTAATACTTTATTTCCTCTTCCTTCTTCCCATTTTTCCAGGAGTCTAAGAGATCAGAATCTCTCATGGACATACATCAGAAAAAGCTAAAGAGCAGAGCATCCGAAGAAAAGAACAAACCTCAAGAAAGAAGGCCATTTGACCGAGACCAGGATCTCAAAGTCAATCGATTTGACGAAGCACAAAAGAAAGCTCTTATAAGAAAATCCAGAGATCTGAATACTAAATTTGAGCACAGTAAAGGCAATATGTTTTTATAACATAAAAGCATGAAGCTTTTTTGAAGTGAAGTCAATTAAACTTTGGATACTTAATTTTTTTAAGTATTTTTCTGTAAATATTTGTATGCAAAATAAATATCCTGATGTTTAACTATTTTTTCCTTGTCTGTAAATACTCTGTCAGGGAGGATCATCTGTACTAAAACTAAACTGGTAAGGGAAAGCCCTGGTATTAAAAAGTTAATTTACTACTTTAAAACATTGAGTCGGATATATATATATATATATATATTTTGTTAACATAAAAGTAATGAATTAAAATAGATATTATTTTAAGGAGCTCTAGAATTGATGTCACAATGGAGTTGGCAGTTTCCTTCTTTCTCCTGCCATGCTTAAGATGTTCTTGCTGAGCCTGACTTGAAGGCCGTGCAAAAATCCCCTTTAGGCTGGTGGGCAAAAAATTTCTTGACTAGAGTTCTTGCTGGGGAGTATAAACTCAAATGGCAGCTTTTATGTCTGCCCAGTGCTTCTATTTCTATAATGCTGTGTCTGTACATAAATACAGATTTATATGTATGCAGTATAATTTATGTACCGTAGCAGGAAGAGCTAGTGGTAGCAGAACTAATAAAACCTCAAGGTTTGCAGATTTAGTTTTACAATGGTAGTATACAAGAAGAGAAAATCTAATTTAAGTTTCAATTTGGTAGGGCTTATCATCAGAAAATCCATCTTTTTTAAGCAAGTACAATGTGAAAATCAAACCAAAATAAAGCTTATTTTGTCAGGTAATTTGCAGAACAGAACAGCTCTTTGTTATCTAGAAGGAATTAAATCTGACATATAAAAAATCTACATCCATGTTTTGAGTTCTGTAGATCTTCTCTGTATGTGCGGAGAAGCTGAAGGGAGAGTTGTGTTCCTTATTTAAAATTAGACTTGTACTTTCATCCTTTTTCCTCTCGGGTGGTGTTTGGGATCCTTTTTGAGGAGCTACTGAAAAAATCCATATATGAAAATAATTTTATATGTGAGATGCTGGCAACTTGTTTGGAAGTGTAACACATTTTGTGTATTAAATACCATGGGGTTCACTGTAATTTGAAAAAAGGCTACGGTGACAGATGGTGTCTGGGTTGGTTGAAGTTAACAGGGTAGTGACCCAACAAGCCCCAGAAACAAACGGCTAAAAATTTGGTCTTATTTTATTGCCTGTGTGCATGAGCCCAAGGCACAGCCTCCTCATGCTGAGAGGTCTTGGAGAATTTTCGATGTCGCAAGTGAATGCTTATGTACAATATATATTGCGCTTTTTTAATAGACAGTCTATTTTGCCATCTGAAAAACCTGCTGCCTTCAGGCGGAAGATGGATGGTTTTGTATTGTTTGGTTTTTCTTTAATCAGTTTTGAGCTTCTGAGCCTTTTCATTTTCACACAAGAGGAAGGTTTTTAAACAAGGGCCATTTATTTTTCCTCCCCTAAAACAGACTTCGTTTAGTGCCTCGTGCTTTTTTTTTTTTTAGCTCAGCAAGCAAGACCTTACTAGGCTTCTACCTTCTGAGTTGTCCCCTTCCCTTTTTGGGGAGCTCCTCTGCAACTGGGGGTTAAATAATGTCTCTCTAGCAATTCAGCAAATCTAGATTTCTTAATTGGAAAGGCAGTATTAGAAATGTTTGGAGGGTTTTTTAGGCAACCAAAGCAATGACAGGGTGAGCATCGCATGACTAGCTAAATCTTCATGGTTGACAAAAAGTGATCCTCATGCCCACTTTTGGAAACGCTGCTGCCGTGAGAAATCAGTTTATTATCGGGTGTTGCCTTACGCTGAAAGAGCTGATCTCGAGCACATCGTGCAGTCCTCACTCATTCAAACAAGTCCGTAGCAGGGACAAGGGCTGCTTGTATTAAGATTTTGTTGATGTTATGTGCTTTGGTTTCATTTTTATTGTTTGGTCCCTCCTCCTCCAAACTGAGGAGCAGTCATCAGATGTCGCAGATGGCCACATCTGGCCATCCAGCTGTATCCCTGCTGTTTGCTCGCTGCCCTCCCTGGCCCCATCGTAATCTCCTGCCCTCTCCAAGGACATCTTTGAGTGGAGGCTCTGTGGTGTTACTCAAGAGGAAAGCTCTTGTAATGGGAGTGCAGGCAGCCCCTTTGCCGTCATGCAGCGGTACATTACACTTCCGAATGCGGGGGACATGCGGTTCTAATTAGTGAAGCCTTGATGTGAGTTGGGAATGTGTTTTCTCTCATCTGCTTAATCTTTTTTTTTTTTCCCTGCTCTGAAGCAGCCTGTCAAAGACTCGATGAAATCCGTGTTACAAACTTGAGATAGGGGGAAAGTGGAAGAGTTGAGAGTTTGAATTAAGCTTTTCATTACTTTGTGTAAATTGAGTGAACTTTTGAATTGCATTAATACACAAACTAATTTCCTCTTACCGATGCCAAACCATTCCCTCAAACAGTTATTAGAATAAGCAGTAACTCAGTAAATTACAAACTCTGTAAGCTTTTGTGGGAAAAGATGAGCTGTTCTCTACAATTTGGACAAGCTGTAACGCATTTCTGCAGAAATATTAGTGGGTGATTTTTTTCAGAATCTCATTTGAAAACCCAGAATTTATTTCACAGAAAATCCTCACCATAATTACTCTGTAATGTTTCTGGTAACTGTCTCCTGATGCAGATTTAATGGATTCTATTGCTATTCTACACTGCCAGTCTGCATCGCAGCCTATCGACTCCAGGCACATCAGAAAATTCTATTTTGTTAAAAAAAAAAAAAAAAGAAAAAGTCAGGGACATTTTCCTGGATGTGAAAAGCCTATCAGCCTAGATTTTAAAGTACTTGCCTTTGTTTTGTGCTGGCATAGACACCCTTTATTAATACTGGTGTTAAAAATTTCTGCTCAAGAGTAGGGTCCCCTCCTTCTGAAATGTTAAATAGGTGTGGAATTCATAATGAAGTCAATAAAAGAAGGCTTTTCTGGTAGGCATACGATAAATTGGATGTTTAGGAGGAATTTTAAGGAAAATTGTATGTTAACAAAAAAATAAAAAATCACCCGTTGAGTCTGCTGTTACCAAGGAACAATTAAAAGCAAGAAAGACATTTCAAGAAAACTTCCTGATTTCTTTGTATGTATCTTCAGGATAAAATATTGAGGTACCATGATGTTTGATCTGGAAAATTTTGTTAGAATATGATATAGCAATGCTGTCACCTGAGGAAAATCTGTACTGTTCTGATTTAAACACGTATTTATGGAGAGTTGTTTTTTGCTTCAGCTCTTGCAGTCAGTGGATGCACTGTGCATATTGGCTTTTCTGGATGAAGTGCATTTCCCAAATAGTAAACAGCAATAGAAATGCATTTTATTTAGGGCTTTGGTGTTACGTTGATAGCACAAAAGTGGCATTGAAATAGCTTTCTTCTTGAAAGAAACATTGAGATGAACTATCGATATTTTTCTGCACAATAGGAAAGGGTTTTTTCCACATAAAGGAAGTTTCAAAATGCTCCAGAGGGCTCCAGGAGTCCAGGGCTGCTCATGCTTGGGGACTTAGTTTTGTTTCTGAAATGTAAACTTCGTTATTTCTGTCCAGCCAATTATAAATTGTAAGTTGATTTAAGAGTAATAGAGCATTAAAAATCAGAATCTGTGAAATCTATATGTACATGCATCCTTCACTTCAGCTGCCCCACCTGCATACAGTGCATATAGTTCTAATTGTGTGATTACCTAATTCCCAAATAAACCACACGCATACGGTTTTCTGTCCTTGTGAATTGTGTGCAGCATTTTATATACTGGAAGAAAAAAAAAAGTTATGCAGTGTCTTTCAGCCAACAGCTTTAGATTTTTCTCATGTGCTCACTGACGAAGACAGGGTCTTGTTACCTGAAGTCTGTGAGGAATGCAAGTGTGGACCCCAGTTGTTGTGCACCTGTGAAATGCATCTTCCTGATGCTTCCAGCTCTGGCAGCCGAATGGGAAGTGGTGACCCTCAACAGTAACTCACCCACATGTGGCGTTTCTGTTCTTTTCAATCGTGATGTGAAGACTGAGGTATTCCCTGTGCAGAGCTGATCTTTTCACAGCAGCTACTTCTGAGTCCTCCACAGGGGCTGTCTCTGCAACAGGCAAAAGCCCTTTCTCCATTATTCCATCTTCATTTCTTGTGGTTCCAATCATCTGTTTTCTTATGCTGGTCTTTAAACCAGTAATAAATCCCATTGCTCTTTGAAATCATGCCTATTTTGAATCAGCATGGCAAATCAAGCCTTGGTTTTTTTTTAAAAAAAAAGGTCTTTCTTTTAGAGTGGGAACTTAAGGTCTCTAGGAGACAGCAGAACAGACTGTCAC